TCGACCACGTTTACATTATAAATGTTCGCCCCCTTTGTAACTAACAGGTCTAGAGTGTGCCCTTTGCTGTGGGTGGGGCCACTCACATGCTGAGTGAGACCAAAAGATTCAAGAAGAGAACTCAGCTCTTTAGCATTTCTGTCATCAACATTATCCACATGAATATTAAAATCACCTGTAATAACTAAACTATCAAAATCTGTGCATACAACTGAAAGCAACTCTGTAAAATTATCAATAAAACTGTGACATGACTGCGGTGGCTTGTATAGGACAACGAAAAGTATTGGAGGAGATTGTTTTTTGTTGTATTTTAAAAGACACATATTCAAAAGACGGAAACTTCCCAAGAGACATTCTATGGGAGACAAAGTGGTCTCTGAAAATGGCAGCTAAGCCTCCTCCTTTTTTGTTTTCCCGTATTTCAGATTCAAATTTGAAATTTGGTGGTGATGCTTCTATTAAAACTGCATTTTCTGTATTTTGGTCAAGCCATGTTTCAGCCATGAACATAAGATCTAGATTATAAGAACAAATCAAATTATTGATTAAAAAAGACTTGTTACAAAGAGATCTGACATTTAGCATAGCAAGTTTCAAAGTTTCAGGATCAGCGGTTGTGGTCGGCTGATTCTTACACGGAACAAGAATTAGATTTTCCTGATTAGACTGATTAACTCCAGATGTTTTTCTGTTATGTATTCTTTGTGTTATCACTAAGGGAATGGCACAGGTGGCTTCATGACAGGGCCCCAGCCGGGTCTCTCCTCTAACTAGACTGCCAGTGGCTGCGAAGCAGAGACCCTGTGCATCCTAGTGTTTAGAGAAAAGAGGGGTAGGGGAAGGCGGGGAGGAGGATGGAGAGGTGGGTGGTTCTTGGGAGTTGGACGGGGAGGGGTTGAAGGTGGATGGGTTTTTGGTGATGGGTTAGGGGAGGGGCAGGCTGAGTTGGGTGGTGGACGAGGGGGGAGTGGAGGTGGAGGGTTTCTTGGTGCTGAGTTAGGGGGGGGGGGGGGGGGGCTAAATGAGCAGGAGGGGGGGGTGGAATACTTATGGGGTTAGAGGAGGGACGGGTGGATTTTGTGGGAGAATTTGAGTTGGACGCCCTAGGTGGCTTTGGAGGTACGTATGAGTAGTTTTGAATGTTAGATAGGACTCTTGATCTGGCTACAGTGGGTGTGAGAGGAATAGTCTTCATCGCCGATCTTATCATGCCTGCAGAGTGTTCCGGTAAATCCAGTAGTGAAGGCGGGGATAGAAAACAAAGGGAAAGGTCGTCCTCATTTTCCCTAGATGGAGTGGATGTAGCGGGGGGACCCAAGCCGGGTCCATGGAAGGTGATGAGGGAGTCTTTGGTGGAGACAGAGGTGGTTGAGGAACCCCCAGTACAGGCCTGACTGTAGCCTGGAGTAATGGGGGAAGCTTCACGGGAGCTGTATGGTGGGGGGGTAAGGTGCTGCTGAAGATGATGGAGCAGCCACTGCTGCTGCTGTATCCACATGCTGCTGCTGAAGATGAAGGAGCAGCCACTGCTGCTGCTGAAAGATGATGGAGCAGCCACTGCTGCTGCTGTATCCACTGCTGCTGCTGAAGATGATGGAGCAGCCACTGCTGCTGCTGAAGATGATGGAGCAGCCACTGCTGCGGCTGTATCCACTGCTGCTGCTGAAGATGATGGAGCAGCCACTGCTGCTGCTGTATCCACTGCTGCTGCTGAAGATGATGGAGCAGCCACTGCTGCTGCTGAAGATGATGGAGCAGCCACTGCTGCGGCTGTATCCACTGCTGCTGGTGGTGCTGTATATGCTGATGGCGCTGATGAGATGTGGCAGCTGCTGAGGAAGCTGGGGGTGGAGGCGTTGAGCTCTTTCGAGAGCCGTGGAGGTGTTGAGTTCTTTTGGAACCTTGGAGGTGTTGAGTTCTTCTTGAATCGTGGAGGTGTGGAGTTCTTTTGAGGCGGGTGGGGGTGCAGAGACCTCGGGAGTCGGTGGAGATGGTCGTGATGTCTGTGCCCTTTGCTTCTTCTTTCTCCCTTTCAACGGCTGCACGCGCCTGCGCAGGCTGAGGTCTTAGGGCAGATGCAAAGTTATCCATCAGCACTTTTACTCCGTAGTTGTTCAGGATGTGGGCCTTTTTCTTCAAAAAGCTCGTGCCTATTCCAGAACAGATTAAAGTTTTCAATGAAGCCAAGTCCTCTGCGTGAACACTCATTGAGTAGAAATGTATTTAGCTGATACAGACTGCTAAACTTCTCCATTTTTCCATCTATATTTGGCAGTGGGCCACTAAGAAAAATTGTTATGTCCATTTTCTTGAGGTCATCCAGTAACAGCGTTAAATCCATTCGTAGACTTCTCGCTTGCCTTCTCATAGATATCTACCGCCCCCGTGTGGATGCAATAATGTACGCACACCACATTTTCTTGCTCGCACAGCAAGAAAATCCCAGGTTCGATTCCCACCTGGACGGGGTCTTTTCTGTGTGTGAGTTTGAATGTTCTCCCCGTGTCTGTGTGGATTTTTCTGGGTACTCTCCGTTTTCCAAAAACCACTAAAATAATGTACAGTAGGTTCCTCTCCTGGGGCCATGATTCCCCAGGAAAAGGGATTCTTAATCTCTGTGGGAATTTCCTGGTTAAATAAGAGATGAATAAATTAAGCAACTGAAGTAAAGTTTGTCATTAACTACTTTTTTAACTTTTTAACAGAACACAAATGAGAGGAAGAGGACAGCTGTCTGTTGGGACTTCCACTCTACACCTCAAAGAAGATTCATCCAATGTTTTTCCCGGCTGTGTGATGTGAGTAAGATACATTTTATCCAAATTAAGTTGCGTCAATAATTACAACTCATTTAGAAACCTAGTTTTAGATAATGTATGGGTATTTAAAAAATATTTGGGCAAACTGAACAGAGGTAATTAACACCATTCATTATAGACATGTAATAGATTTTAATTCGTATACTGAAATCAAAGTATATTTTTTCTAAAACGACGACGAAATAAGCCCAAGGCTACAATCGTTTGTGGCTTGTTTACATGCATAGAAACCATGTATGTTCCATTAACATGCAACTGTCCCTCGACAAGAGAAACCAATAAATAAAAAGTAACGACATCTACAGCATCTAATTGTCATTTTTATTTTAGGCCCCATTATGAACCAATCTGATGAAGCGTTGAAAGGGAATGGACTTGACGCCTGATTGCCTTCGTAGACTAGTAATGGTGAAGAGGAGCCAGGATGCTGTCCCACCATCTGGTCTTTGATGTTGCCTGTCGGTTTGTGGACGAAAGCATTGGTGATTCACCATGAAAAGAGTGTCGCATTGGTGTGGCAATGCTGGATGGGACATCTATGCTGAAATCTGAAATACCCATCAGCAAAAAAATGAAGTACAACGTTCGAGTTTCTCCAAAAGGGTGGCATGAAGATCAAAGCCACGAACAGGCCTCGCCAGAATACATGGACTGGCGCAGACAAAATATGAAGTACTAACATGTAAATTTAATCTATGTTGTCAAATGCTGTTGTATCTTTTTTCCCAGCTTTGCTCATTTGTTTTGAGCCATTTTGGACACTTCATATGTTGTTTAGGTAGGCCTGTTTATATTGGCTCTTCCTTTGAAAGGTTGTTGACTTCTTTCTAATCCCATGCCTTCAAGCATGTTCACACAAGTAGGCCTGGCACAATAAGAAACGTTTTTGAAGTTAATAAGTTTGAGGCTACAAAATAATGCGATATTATTGAGGAGCCACTTGAAACAACCCCTGGATAGATGAACTGAACTTAATAATGGAAGTCCTCAGTATTTCCCTCGTTATAAAACTATGTATTAAAAAATATTTGATAACACAAGTTGCAAGAAACATGACTAAATTTACTTTTGATAAAAGGATTATAGTATTTATAAAAAATATAAAATTAGCAAAAATATAAATGTAATGACCAAGCGAGCCCATTATTGTAATAAGTCAAAATAGTAACTATTGTGAAATTCCTACACAAGTACAAGATGGAATTACATAATGTGTTTAGCTAAATGTTTTTTAAAAAACTGGATAGCTTTGCATATGGTATTGTTGCTAATTACACTTGTTTTCCATGTTTTACATTCTGGAAATAAAAAGGGAAATAACGCTGTGACCTACTTGATTGTGAATTTGTAATCTACAATACCTAGTTTTTTGCATGTCAATAGAAATCACAAGTAGACATTCCTTTAACTTAAAAGTGTCCTGTACAATTTCTGCCATAAACATTTGCGTCTCATCTAACATTTGACTGTTAATCGGTGCCATATTGAAAACTTAGTATTAGTGTAACAAGTTAAGAAAAAAAATGTTGGATGCGTACAACTGCATTGAATGAGTTAAAAATTCATTCATAACTTTGACCCAATAAGTTGAACCGATGTCAAACATTGTATTCTCCCTTTGACATCAGATTCGAAAGTTAAAAAATTATTTTCAACTTGGCTTGTGAGTTTAAATAACGCATACACTTGAATTAATATGAGAATCAATATAAGTTTTACCGTATGGCACAATCATAACAGGTTAGTTGGTTTTAAACTAAAACTATTGTGTTGTAACAATTTCTAGCAATGATTTGATGGAACCATTTATAACTTTGCTTGTTTTTTTTGATTGCAGGTGCCAATATTGTTTCATCCATCCATTTTCTACCCTTTAATCCATTTTCTGGGTCAGGGGGTGGCAGTCAGAGATGCCACCCAAGTCTCATAGCACCAGCCCCTCACTGACCCTCTGCAGGTGGTGATCCACAGGAGGACGGCTGCTCTCTGAGTGTGAGCATAGCCTTGATCTTTCAGTGGGGGCTTTGGGCAAAGTGGGGTTAAGTGTCTTGCCCAAGGACACAACGACAGCAGTCATCAGTGGGATCGGTGGAGAAGGTGCAGAGGTGGGAATTGAACCCACGACCTTCTGGCCTTAAGGCCAATGCTCTACCAACTGAGCTACTGTCGCCCAGGGAGTCAGCAAGGGGCCAGCAGGGGCAGCAGGAGCAGCAGGGCCAGCAGGGGAGCAGCAGGGAGCACAGGGGCCAGCGGGAGCAGCAGGGGCAGCAGGGGCCGCACGGGGAGCAGCAGGGCAGCAGCAGGGCCAGCAGGGAGCCAGCAGGGAGCAGCACGGGGCCAGCAGGGGGCCAGCAGGGAGCAGCAGGGGCCAGACAGGGGCAGCAGGGAGCAGCCGGGGCAAGCAGGGGGCAGCAGGGGCAGCAGCAGGGGCCAGCAGGGGTCAGCAGGGAGCAGCCAGGGGCCAAGCAGGGGCCAGCAGGGGGGCAGCAGGGGAGCAGCAGGGGCCAGCAGGGCAGCAGCAGGGAGCAGCAGGGGCCAGCAGTGGAGCCAGCAGGGGCCAGCAGGGGGCAGCAGGGAGCAGCAGGGCCGCGGGGGCAGCAGGGAGCAGCAGGGGCACAGCAGGGAGCAGCAGGGGCCAGCAGGGGCAGCAGGGAGCAGCAGGGCAGCAGGGGCAGTAGGGAGCAGCAGGGGCCAGCAGGAGCAGCAGGGAGCAGCAGGGGCCAGCAGGGGGCAGCAGGGAGCAGCAGGGCCCAGCAGGGAGCAGCAGGGGCAGCAGGGCCGCAGGGAGCCCAGGGCGCAGCAGCGAGCAGCAGGGGGCAGCAGGGGGCAGCAGCGGGTCAGCAGGGGGCAGCAGGGACGAGCGGCAGGTGATGAACCAACTGTATTTTGAACTGCGTTTGTTGTGGGGGTGGAGATTACCATCCATGGGCAGCTCGGACAGAAAATATGGATTGACCCAAATCTTGAAAACCATGTCCAAGAATCGGACTAGCAACTCTCCTCGTCCACACTTTCTCCGCCTCCGAAACCAAAGCCCGAGACCGACGCGACCTCTACTCCTCTACTCACAACCACTTCTCGCTCTTTAAACCGTTCATTTCGCCGTTGAAAAAGTCCCGGAGCATTAAAGGACTTTGGGTTAAAGGAGTGTGTGAGTGTGAGCCACAGGGTGGATCAGTATTCAGTCCTCGGAGGCCGGCCCACATCACACCGGCAGCCCGATATGAACTCGCAAAACGCCACGGCAAAGAGATGTTAAATTAAAAAGAACGAGATTCTGTCTTTCTCCCTTTGTGCAGAAAAACACAAAAGTTTGCTCAAACAAAATGCACCTAAAGACCTCGCACCCAACGATTTCATTAGGCTCCTCTCGGCGCGAGCCGCGGTGACGTTATAATTGTTGATGTGTACTTAGTATTATGGTGTGCTGAAGTAGTGGTTTTCTCTGGTCTCCTCCTCTCTCCTCCACTTGACTCACTCTCTGGCCTCTCTCTAGGGGACATCTCTTTCCCTGGTTCTCTCTCTCTCTGTGTATCCACTCTGGTATCTTCTCTCTGGCCTCGCTCACTGGCCTCTCTCTGGCCTCTTCGCTCTCTTTAAGACTCTCTCTCTGACCTATTTATCTGGACTCTCTCTTTAGTGTCTCTCTCTTGGCTCTCTCTCCTGGTCCTCTCTCTCCGGTCTCCCCTCTGCCTCTTCTCTCCTCCTATTAGTCCTTTCTCTCCAGGCCTCCTCGCTCGCTTTAAGTTCCACTCTCTTGCCTTTCGCTCTCTATAGTCTCTCTTTTCAGGTCTCTCTCCTGGTCTCTCCCTTTAGTCTCTCTCTTTAGTCTCCCACTGGTGTCTCGCCAGGGCCTCTCTCTCTTGTCTCTTGCGCTCTTTAGTCTCTCTCTGGCCTTTCCCCGCTCTCTTTAGTCTCTTCTCTCTGGTCTCTCCTCTCTGGTCTCTCTCTGGTCTCTTCTCCGTCCAGTCACTCGCTGCTCTCTCGCTCTCGGTAACAGGACATGCTCTGCCCTAAAGTCCCTTAATGATGTGCAGAAACTTTAAAACAAAGTTTTCTCAGACGAAACCGCCTAAATATGATTCGCAGCAGAAGGTGTTTGATTGAAGGCTCGCTCATCTGTCTACCTTTCATGTCATGTTCTTGCCTAATCTCCAGGACGACACTTACGCACTGGACACAAGGGGGCGCCCCAGACAAGGAGGAGACTGGTTCTATTCCCGCTGCGAGGCCGCGGTCCCGGAACAGATATTAGACCTGTTATGAGTTCGAGCGCAGGTTTAGTCTGAGTCTTCCCTTTTATATGCTCATCGCAGCAGTTGTGTGAATATTAAAGCATCCGGTACCTAACGCTCAGAAAACCACCAAAAAAGAACACTTTATTCATACGGCACTAGACTGCACGAGAGACCAAGAGAGACCATCGCGAGTACCAGAGAGAGACCAGCGAGAGACCCGAGCCAGAACCATGAGAGAGACCAGAGAGTGGCCGGAGATGAGACGCAAGAGATGAGTGGACTGAGAGAGACGAGACCAGAGAAGACCACCCCACCCCGCACGCCGAGAGAGAGATCACCGGCGAAGGCCAGAGAAGAGACTGCAGTAGGGCGACATAACAGCTGCGAGATCCATCTTTTCCTTTTTTCATACATTGTAAATGCTGCTGGATGTCCCTTCATGTGAGCTTTCTCATTACTGTCTCATTCCCTGGTTCTACAGCCTCAGTCCTGGGTCTACAGCCTCAGTCCTGGTCTACAGCCTCAGTCCTGGGTCTACAGCCTCAGTCCTGGGTCTACAGCCTCAGTCCTGGGTCTACAGCCTCAGTCCTGGGTCTACAGCCTCAGTCCTGGGTCTACAGCCTCAGTCCTGGGTCTACAGCCTCAGTCCTGGGTCTACAGCCTCAGTCCTGGGTCTACAGCCTCAGTCCTGGGTCTACAGCCTCAGTCCTGGGTCTACAGCCTCAGTCCTGGGTCTACAGCCTCAGTCCTGGGTCTACAGCCTCAGTCCTGGGTCTACAGCCTCAGTCCTGGGTCTACAGCCTCAGTCCTGGGTCTACAGCCTCAGTCCTGGTCTACAGCCTCAGTCCTGGGTCTACAGCCTCAGTCCTGGGTCTACAGCCTCAGTCCTGGGTCTACAGCCTCAGTCCTGGGTCTACAGCCTCAGTCCTGGGTCTACAGCCTCAGTCCTGGGTCTACAGCCTCAGTCCTGGTCTACAGCCTCAGTCCTGGGTCTACAGCCTCAGTCCTGGGTCTACAGCCTCAGTCCTGGGTCTACAGCCTCAGTCCTGGGTCTACAGCCTCAGTCCTGGGTCTACAGCCTCAGTCCTGGGTCTACAGCCTCAGTCCTGGGTCTACAGCCTCAGTCCTGGTCTACAGCCTCAGTCCTGGGTCTACAGCCTCAGTCCTGGGTCTACAGCCTCAGTCCTGGTCTACAGCCTCAGTCCTGGGTCTACAGCCTCAGTCCTGGGTCTACAGCCTCAGTCCTGGGTCTACAGCCTCAGTCCTGGGTCTACGAGCTCAGACCTTGGTCTACAGGCCTCAGTCCTGATCTATAGCCGGTCATCAGTGGGATGCGGATCCTCTCTATATGGGCTCAATTTTCAATTTATTTGTTTTTGTAAGCCCTAAATCCTAGCAGTAGAACAGCAGGTGCATAGCATGAACAGACTACAGCGCAAAGTCTTAAATAATTACAAATAGAAAGTAAAAGAGGAGAGGATAGTGCTGTTACGACTTCTTCACAAAGGTGTTCTTTTTTGCGACTTCTACTGACCAATCTGTAGTTTTTTGACTTAAGGTTAATATTAAAGTCCTTACTGTACCTGGCTCTGAGGCTTCCTCACCTTTTATTCTCCCACTATTCCTCTGATGGGAGGGTCTAAGGACATCATGATCAATTGCAGACATTAAAGACATTGACATCTGTGGACAGTGGTTGTGGATCTCTATCGGCCCAATAGGTCTTATACGTTTGAATTTAGAAGAGTTCTGTTAACTATCACTGAGTTATGTTACCCACCGCGACTAGGACTCGTTAATGATCCATCATCTCCCATCCACGACCTTCTCTCGCTCAGCCAAACTCCTCACCCGTCACGTCATCTGGTATGACAAAGTGTGGAGCGGTGGTGCCGGCTCTGGACGGTGTGAAAGCCATTTTGGCGGCAAATAAAAGAGCCCATCACGGCCTTGGTCCTCGCGCACAAGACTGTGGCACGCGGCAGAATCAAGAAGAAGAGAAGCAGCCAGCTCTTTTCAAGTCATCTCCGCGGCAAAACACAACTAACCAGGGGATCGATCGCAATGTGGAGGACCCGTAGCATATGGACCTGCAGGAGGGGGAGATTGCAGAAAAGGAGGAACACATGCAAACACTCCGGACACAGGGCTGGGAATATGGCGAAAAAAACAATACACTTTTATCTCTTATATTGATTTATAACAAAATAGTTACGAGATAAAAAACCCCAAACCCAGTCAATTTCACGTTAGGAAAAGCTCTACTCCGAGCTCTACCGTGTGACAGAGCTCCTCCACCTATTCTCTAAGGGATGCCGCCCAGCCACTCTGCGGAGGAAGCTATTTATGATGCTTGTATCCGGCGAATCTGTTCTTTCAGTTTCATTACCCACAGGCTATGACCCAAGTTGAGGGGAGGGACGAAGATTGACTGTTAAATCGTAGCTTCGCCCTTTAGGCTCAGCTCCCTCTTCACCCCGACGGTGATACTCGACTCCGCATCACTGCGCACGCTGCACCGATTCCGCCTGTCAATCTCGCGCACCATCCTTCCCTTCACTCTATGAACAAGACCCGAGATGCTTGAACTCCTCACTGAGGAAGGACTCTCCACCACCGGTAGAGGGGAAGGCACCTTTTTGGGTACGAGCACCATGACCTCGGATTTGGAGGTGCTGATTTCATCCCAGCTGTTCACCACTCGGCTGCAAAACCCACCTTGAGTTTTCTTATAACAACAATAAAAATTACTCTACTCTAATATGCACCTAGGAGCAGTTGTAGTGCTATATAGGAACAGAGCGCTTCTGGCGATATTTTAGCGAAAAAATTACCCTGAACCCATTATAGGAACTTTTCCAATTCAGCCGCGGGTTGGGGTTCTTGTGTTCAAAAAAAATAATGTAATGGCTCGACTCGCCTAATCTGTTTTGTTTTGTTTTTATCTGTGTATAAAGTTTAAGGAGACCTGTTCTCTGGTATAAAGTGTACTATGTTCAATGACGACAAAATGTGCAGTGTTCCACCGCTTTATGAAAGCCTTGAGACTGATGTTACCCACCGGCGCTCTTCGGTCTTATTCTTCACTCTGCGTGTTTTAGCCAAAGTTGTTTCCTCTGAGCATGTAAACAGCAGACTCTGTCCTAGCTGAGAAGTTATGGTTGCTTTCAGACCGGATCATGGTTGCGGTCGGGTTCAATGCCAAAGTCTATGGTTGACGCGCGTGTCGGCCGTCGCAACGACCAGGATCCGCTCGTTGCAAGAAGGACTGTTCAGTAGACGCACGGATCTCTTGGCGGGAGGGGATAGTGAAAACGGAGGAAGCAGGAGCGAAAAAAACCAACAATAGACGACCACAGGCGATAGATTCTGCTCCATCCTATCCTTGGGTCGTTGTAGCGACACACCACCTAAAGAGCAGCAAAGTGGTCACGGGGAACATTTAGCGGAGACTGAGCGAAGCAGACTGAAAATACTCGTAAACAGCCAAAACAGGACCCACACCAGACTTCACCAGAACTCAAACCCGTGTTGACAATGGGGGTTCTAGTGCGGTGGTGAATCTCAGCGTTGTCATGCTCCCGTGACCTTATGCAACCTGCTTCGAGTGTGTTCGCCGATGCGGAAATGCGTTTATACTATGAAAAAAACTTGGGCGCACCTCCGTGAACACACTGTTATAAC